TTTCTGTAAGTTCAGCTGGTTTTCACAATCTAAGTAAAAGCAAGAGATCTGCAGACAATAACAAGCCTTTTGAACGCAGGAAATAATCTAGCCCAAACGAACAAAAAACGAACTTACTTCGATCCCGTGCCGTGACCTTGGCTGTTGACGTAGTTCCACGTCCCACAGTCGGTTCCATCTTTGTCGGACACATTTGAAACTAAGGCAAACTCCACGCATCACCACTGATCGGGTAATTGGACCGTTAGCCGGTAGTGAACACAGGCATTCAAACGCACACAGCCGGCAAAACGTGCGAGACATAGGCCGTTGATTCGATGAGATTGCATTCGTATCTTAAACACGTTTGAAATAAAACGATCAGCAAACCACATTCTAAAACTCATAAAAGACACAGCAATAATAAATTAATGCGCACGTCAATATCGCCACAATATTATGAATAAGTCCTGAACATGTTGCAAAATAATAAATACGAAACTAAGCCTGCAATGGTTCAAAACAAATTCAGCAGACATGCAACCTTCTAACAACGTTATTAGATTAGCTCAGTTACGGAACTGCTCATAGACGCCGCATGCACGAACACTACCCCGCTCACTCACCAGGACTCGCCAAGCGTCGCTCGATGCGCCGCCAGACGGCTGCTTTGGTAACTGAATCAGGATACGTACGTTTCAACGTACTAGAAACGTAAAAAAACAACGAAAACAAACCCTTTCGGTATTAACTTTTATTGGAGTTTAGTACAAAATGAGGGGCGCGTGCTGTTTTCTAAAATCATTAGTTTGCAAGGTTTTGCGGTAAAATTAATATTGTTTTAATACAACCATGCCTCAGCGGGCATTCCAGGTAGAGCGTCCCGACCTAGGCTCATCTTAACTTCAAGGCGAATTCGCGGCGCGTCCATAGAGTAATATAGTAAACGTAAAGAGAGGGCACTGAAGCCAATTCGCGGCTCAGATTGTGCGTTTCATACCCTCCGCTACGTGGCGCTTTTCTGTAATTTGGTTAGTATTAATTAAAGCTCTCTCTCCGAAAGTATTTTTTTTTAATTGTTATTCTTTAGAGTTATTTAAAGTACTTAAAACGACTAAATAGTGTTAATCAAATACGTCAAAAACCACGTGATGAATGGCGCCTGCCATGGCCTGTCTGCTTGCACCCCGTCACCTCTGCTCGTCCGTGCGGTTCGTGCTTCGTTCGTCCGTGCCGTACCGTCCGTGCCCTCCGTGCCGTTCTTCTCTGTTTTCTGCTGCAGCGTGTTCGGTCGACTTTGCTTGAAACAAAGTGACCAGTGACCGGCCGCGTGCTCGCATGCTCGGCGTGAGTTTGTAGAGGTGAGCGGCTTGATATGGCTTGAGCTTCTCGCGTTTCCGTCGGGCTGTCAGGGCCTAGATTTTTAAACAAAAGGTAAGTCGTTTTGCTCATTTGTCTTTCGACTGTGTTGTAAAGCTGGCTTTTGGATTTGCTAAGTCTGGGTTGCCGTCCGGCGCCCCTCGGGCAGAGCTTTGTTCATGAGTGTTCAAGTGCCATCAGAGAGCTGTGGATTGCTGTTGAGAGGACTTATGCCGTTATAGATTGAAGTCTATTCACTGACTAAAGCTGGGTCGACAGTCGTTCGCAGTGCGACAAATTCGGGGCAAGGTGTCCATTGAGTCATATTGATATTTTGACATGTATTCTTTCAATGGCGCATCGCTGCTTTGATTTATCATATAAAGTGCAAAAGAAGCGAACCAGCGAACGTCGCTCAAGCGAGCTACATGGCTTGTGTGTACCGCCATACGAGCTGCAGTTACGACGACAAACGCATGCATAGAATTTCGGGGAAAAAAACTGCGAGACGCAGTATCGAACTTAGATATTTAATAAAGTTCCCAAGCAGCATATATATCCTATGGACGTCCGCGGGACATCCAGGATAGGACATCCATGGAACTTTCGGACACTCTGAGAATGTACGGAGGACAGGGTGTGCTGCTAGGGCCTGCTATTCAAACATGGTTTGCACTACATCACTACATCACCAAATAGAGCTCGAAATTTAGGTCTATGGTTCGGTGACATTATTTCCTATGTAAGAAAGCAAAATTCGAAATATTGACGGCCAATTTGCCAGAAACAGTAGAGATAGATGTCTTACTCATTTTGGCCGTACCGCCGTACTATGCTAAAATTCTTGTTTCACTCTTAAGGACGACATTCGAACGTTGGGTAAAACCAGTCAGTCGGCACTTGAACACTTGGTTGGAGTGCTGTGGGATGGCACTTTAGACACAGCGTTCGAATTATGATGCATGAAGATTGCATAAACTTCACAATATTTCTTTCACCCGTCTGTGTTCATATGTGTCATGGGTTTATTGTACCACTGCATCACGGCAATAGCTAGATTATCTCGTGACATTGTTTAATTCTTCATCAGTTTATTTTTTCACCAGCCGCTATTGTGCTACCTTCCGATGGACTAAAGGAACGCGCCACTGGCTAGACTTCAGTAGATGTTAAACTCTCCCTCCCCCGCTGGCCCAGGTTATGTCCTATGGAAGTTACTGCTGCGTGGTCTGGTGTGCCAACAATGGGAAAACAAGTAAGAAGCCAAATGTCAAATTTTTTCGAATTCTGCGTGACCCAAGGTACTTATAGATTCTAAGGCTGTCCTTACAACATTTGATCGAAGCATAACATTTTGAAATAATAACTATGGTCCGTTGCAACCTAAGAACGAAGGGCGAGGGTAAGACGGGCCGGGGAGGTGGAAGCAGACGGAACGCTAAAGAGAGAAGGAGGTTTTCCCTTTTCTTCTCCAGCGTTCCGTCTGCTCCCTCCTCCCCGGCCCGTCTTACCCTCGCCCTTCGGTCTTAGGTTGCAACGGACTATAGCAAAAACGATTTCTTCCATGTCACTTTGGTTTATGGACACCAATATCTTTCAGCATTTTAGGGTTATCTTGCCTCGGGCCTAAATTGATTGCATACCCTGGTGGGTATGCAATCTGTTTGTTTAGCTGCATTGCACTCTAGAGTAGCATAAGAAGAAAAACAAACTCTTCAAAACGTGAAAACTTTGCTGAGAGGTGCTATACCAAACGGCTGTGAAATATTAAAAACAAGGATCATATATTTGGAGTATATTTGACCCTTACAGTATGTGTAACCTTGATGGTATATACAATGTTCTGCAGGTCAAAAGCATGGCTACAGTACGCCAGACGTCCTGAGCTCCTAGGAAAGACAGCCAAGGAGCTCTATGAGGGGTATCGCCTGTGTAGTGGGCATTTCACAGCCAAGGACTTTTTGGATCCTCGGAAGACAAGGCTGACCAAAACGGCTATCCCTACGGTTCGGCCGCAAATGCTTAGGCCATCTGTAACAGCCCAAGGTAACATATTCTTTATTTGCAGTCTGTACGGAGTTCTGTTATATTTTCCTTTTAGGCAGCACCAACTCTACGTCACTGATGCCAACTGTCAGCATGCTGTCAACGAGGCTTGACAGTCTCAAAAGTTTTATTCTGATTTATATAGTTTTTATTATTAGTTTGTGCTTAAATGTTTTATCTAATTCATTTAGAATTTTTGTACATTATCCCTGTAATGTCCCTGCGCATACTGTTGCCCAGAACCAATATCCGGCCCAGTTTGTTGAAAGATTGTTGTAAAACACAAGGTCAGCTGCATTGAAATACAGTAATTTGTGTCCTGCAATCAAGAAGGGCAGTTCTGCCAGTTCAGTATGATTTCTTACAGGGCATCCTAGGTGTGTATCATACAATAGTTATATAAATGAAAGATAAGGCAGGTCAACGCTCCCCTGTTCATATCGAATTCGACAAGAGGACTGGTGCCGTCTGAGTCATCTTCCTGACACTCATGTTTACAGGGTCAGCTTTAGTTCCCCATGCTGTTATGTTCTCATGCATCAGCATACCGGGCCGTTAAAATTTAAGATATTCCGAGATTCCTAAGTGCCTTTTCAAGACCCGCCGGATCCTGTGTTTCGCCATTGATTAATACTGCTCAACATTAATTTTCACCAATAAGGAATTTCAATGCCCTTTCAGAGTGCTGAATATTTACTGTTCCTTTGAAAGGTAACACTACTAACCTATCTTTCGCCTGTCGCAGGAATTCTTCATCAGAAGCTTTATAAGCAGGTATTCATATCTGAGAAGCCAACATTTTTCAGAAGAACTGGTGGCGACAACATGCCCCTGTGACGTTCCACTGGAGGGAAACATAATGTCGCATCCCACAGCAGCTTCTGGTGAGATTATATCTTTTAAATCAGCGGCTCATATCTGACAAGAAAGCCCTTTTCAGAAAAGCCGATGGCGGAACCAAGCCCCGGGATGTTTGATTGGAGGGCAGTGGAACCCCCCTTCAACAGCTGCTCATGGTGAGATCATTTATTTTAAAACAGGGGCTCATACCTGACAAGCAAACGTCTTTCAGATGGGCCGATGGCGGCACCAAGCCCCGGGAATGTTCCATTGGAGGGTAGTGGAACGTCACCTTTGGCAGCTGCTCATGGTGAGATCATTTCCTTTAAAAACTGCTGCTCATATCTGACAACCAAACATTTGTCAGAAGAACCGGTGGCGACATGTCCCTGTGACGTTCCATTGGAGGGAAGCAGAACGTCGCATCCCACAGCAGCTTCTGGTGAGATTATATCTTTTAAATCAGCGGCTCATATCTGACAAGGAAGCCCTTTTCAGAAAAGCCGATGGCGGAACCAAGCCCCGGGGATGTTCGATTGGAGGGCAGTGGAACGTCACCGTCGGCAGCTGCTCATGGTGAGATCATTTCTTTTAAAACAGCTGCTCATATCTGACAAGCAACCGTTTTTCAGAACAACGGATGGTGGCACCAAGCCCCGGTAATGTTCCATTGGAGGGCAGTGGAATGTCACCTTCAACAGCTGCTCATGGTGAGATCATTTATTTTAAAACAGGGGCTCATACCCGACAAGCAAATGTCGTTCAGAAGGGCCGATGGCGGCACCAAGCCCAGGGAATGTTCCATTGGAAAGCAGCGGAACGTCACCTTTGGCAGCTGTTCATGGTGAGATCATTTCTTTTAAAACAGCTGCTCATATCTGACAACCAAACATTTGTCAGAAGAACCGATGGCGACATGTCCCTGTGACGTTCCATTGGAGGGAAGCAGAACGTCGCATCCCACAGCAGCTTCTGGTGAGATTATTTATTTTAAATCAGCGGCTCATATCTGACAAGGAAACGCTTTTCAGAAAAGCCGATGGCGGAACCAAGCCCCAGGGATGTTCGATTGGAGGGCAGCGGAACGTCACCGTCGGCAGCTGCTCATGGTGAGATAATTTCTTTTAAAACAGCTGCTCATATCTGACAAGCAACAGTTTTTCTGAACCGATGGCGACAAGCCCCTGTGGTATTTTACTGGAGGGTACCAGTGCGTCACATTCCAGAGCGGCATGCGGTAAAATAAATCTCCTACACAAATTGGGTTTATGCAAACATTCGTATTTAACAGTGACACATTTTCCAGAGCAAATGGGGATGGCCAGGTCTCCTGGCCAGCTTTTGGACCACAGCACTCCATCTTCGTCTGTTGGCCATTCTGAATCGTCTGGAACCTGTGAGTATAAATTGACTTCTCTACAGATTTAATCACTGCAAAATTGTGTTAAGAACCTCTGCATTTAGTATGCACATTGCTTCAGATTAGGTGACATTATTTGTCACTTCATTTTTGTGCTGGCCTTAATAACTTGGAACATCACTACAGGGCTCTAGGTGACAGGGAACATAAGCATTGAAGTGTGGCACCGTGAAATGCTCTGAAAAGGGGTGGTTTCCTAGTAATCTGTGCTTACTGTAGTAATTTGCCAATCCTATTACATACAGTTCTCATTTTGGATTACCCTGTTGAACGTAGTGATTGACTACGCGATTATTCAATATTTGAAAGATTCATCAATTTATGTTAATACAGTTTTTGTGGTGAAATTATTCTAGCTCAAATACTAAAAGCTAGTTTAATTTTTTTCTGATAGCAACCATTTGTGTATAAACAGTGGTAACGGAACATGCGGAGCAAATGCCCACTCACAATTTGGAGATAATCATGAAAAACTCAGAGATGTATGCTTCTTATGCCCGAAAGCGAAATTGCAGAACAGCCAAAGGTTGGGGGGAAGGGGGGTTACCACTTTGGAGGCCCGTGCACGTGTCAAGCTTCACCTTTTACATCGGTGTGCTTGGAGAAGCAGCTGAAGCGGATGAGCATTTATGTTAGGTGGGTGGGTTTTTAAGTCTGTAGTTGGACCTTGATACGTGCTTTGTTTATTTCGCAAGCATTTCGAAAGTAGGGGGGGGGGGGGGGGAAGGGGCACATATTGCAGCATGGGTTAGTGGTCGGTATTTGGCGGTATCATTTCTGTCGGGTTCTACTTTTATAATTTTTGTGTAGCCTGACTTATGTGCTTTCGGTATTGTTTTGGGAGGCTCTGGTCGTTCAACACCCGCTTCCGCCAAGCTCTGAAGGGGGCCCAGGGACGTCATAAAACGCCTACAAGCAAAGGTTTCCAGTTACAGAAAGACAATATCAAGACTGCGCAAGCAACAGAAGCAAATGCCTCAAACAGCTGCTGAAGCGCTTGAAATGGTGCGTCCGTTTGTGACAGAAGAGATTTTTGGGCTTATCTCGTCGCATGTAAAATTAGGGCGCAAGGGACGAGGAAAACGGTTTTCGCTGTGGCTCAAGAAGTTTGCTTTGCATCTGAACTTTAATGGCCCACAGGCATACCGTTTTCTATCGTCACATTTAACGCTTCCCACACAGCGTTCACTGCGTAGGTGGCTGTCGAACGTAAAAATGACTCCTGGTATTATACCTGGTGTCATGTCCTCCATCGAATCTCTAACGCGGTCTTGGAATGCACGTGATTGTGTCTGCACCTTGATTTTTGATGAGATTGTTTTAAAGATGAACTTGACATACGACCCTGCACACGACATTCATTATCCATGGATTTACAGATGACGGTGTTGAACGAACCGCGACCATTGCAGATAGAGCCCTGGTTGTTGTGCTTTCTGGAATTGCCAGGAGGTGGGTTCAGCCCCCCGCATACACTGTTGGGCACACTACAACACCGTCTTCTGTTATCCGGAGCCTCCTGATTTCTCTCATTCGAGAGCTTAAGACTGTTGACTTCACTGTGAAGGCCGTGGTCTGTGATCAGGGGGCTTCAAACGTAAGCTTAGCCAACCAACTTGGTGTATCTGCTGATAAGCCATTTTTTGAAGTCGACAACGAACATGTTTACTTTATCTTTGATGTTGCGCACCTCATCAAAACAACCAGAAACAATCTCCAAGCCCACAAACTTTGCATTGGAGATGAGGTCATTGAATGGTCCCATACTGTTGAACTTTATCGTTTTACTCATAAGATGAGGTTGCGATTGGCTCCAAAACTTACTGAGAGGCACATTTTTCAAAAACCTTTCAGTAATATGAAAGTAAAGCGTGCCACACCGGTCCTGAGTGCCTCAGTCTGTCTTGCCATTCTATCACTTGTTTATGCCAAGGAACTTCCTGAGGCAGCCATGGCTACAGCCTATTTCTGTGATAGAATGGACAGACTTTTTGATTGTTTAAATAGCTCGCAATTCAAGAAGACGGGGCAGAATTCGCCTCATGCCATTTTGAAAGGAGAATCTGAGATACTCGATTTCCTTCACCAACAACTCGCATGGACTTCAACATGGAAGTTCCAAAGTAGGAGGCGGCCACAAACCATCATAGGGTGGCAAGTTACAATAAGGAGTGTCCTCATGCTCTGGAATGAGCTTTCAAACAGCTATGACTTTAAAGCCTTACTTACTCGACGCCTGCCGCAAGACCCACTGGAGAACATTTTTGGGGCAATAAGACAAATGCTGGGCTGCAATACAAACCCAAATGTGAATCAGTTCACCTCAGGACTGAAACACATCGAGATAAAAAAACTGTTCAGAATCTCGAACAATGGAAATGTACAGGATGAAAAGGCTGACCTCCTCAAGGAGTTGCCAATATTTTCGCACCATGAAAGGTCCTTTGCAGACAATGTGGAATGTTTTCCAGTTGATAACTTCCCGCCACTAGAAGATATTTCTGAGCTGGCATCAGACATGAGGTCTAACAGAATTGATGACTCGTGCACTTACTACGTTGGAGGCTATTTGATCAAACTTTTCCTTGAACAGACAGCCCGCAGCTGTGGCTCTTCTAAGCTACTAAAGGATGAGGCTGACAACTTGACCAGGCCTCACCAGTATTTTCTTATGCTTAAAGCATACCACGTGCCTGGGAAACTATTCGGAAACCTAGTAGTACCATCACAGGCTGCCTTTAACTTCATTCAGAAACTAGAAAATCCCTTTCTTGCCGAAATAGAGAGTGTAGCGCATGTTCGAAGAGTGTGTGCTGCCTTGTATCACACACTCTCAGAGCTGGGTGGTTTCAGCCTTTGGTCAGAGGAGTGTCACAAAAGGTTTTTAAAAATGTTTTGCCGAATACGCTTGTGTTGGCATGTTCGGTTCCTTAACCGGAACTTGGACAAAGTTTGGTTACACTCTTCAGTTGCTAGTAAGCAACTTGATAAGTTTAACTGTTAATAGATTAATAGCGTATTAACAGAGGCGGTTGCCGAATCAAAAACTGAAATTGCTGATTAATTGGGCAGTGTAGCTTGTACTCCAAACATGTTTCCTTTTTTCCAGGAAATGTGTATCACGGCCCCCTTGCACAAATATTTATCCACTTTCTACAGAATTTCTATAGAAAATAGTGTATAGAGGCTATAGATATTTGGAAGAAAATGTGTCCACTTCTGTACCCGTCTATATTTTTTAGACGTTTTTTTTTTTTTAAGTAATATTCCTTTCCTGAACAAATGTGTTTCGGGGAATGTTTAGGGACGTTGAATCATGGTTCAATATCTATGGTTGAATCTTGTCAAATTCCGAATAGAGTTCTCATTTTTTTTGTAATGCCTCATCCGCAGCGAGTTTCAGGCTATGCCATTTCGTGTGTTTTATATTAGCCGGTAATTTGGAATTTGTACTATCCGGTGCGTGCCTCGCCTGGTAATGATAGCGATGTCTTGTTTATTTCTTCACTTACTTCCCGTGCTCGAGTCGGCGTGAAGGTGAATGGATCATTCAGCATGTTCCCTCTGGAAAGCTTTTGTAAACTTGGCTCCGCTAAAATCTATTACGAAGTGTACGATATGCCGAACTCCTTCATACTCATTTATTTTTGTGATTATCTATTTCTTATAAAACATACAGAGCTTCTGAAGTAAATAATGTAGATATGAATGTGGTCCAATAAAATGTTTTAAAACCACTTACTGTTGTTGACCCCAAAACCTACCAAAATGCAGTCTTGGGTAAGTTACTTTTAAAAAGTAATTCGTTACAGTTACAGTTACTTTCAGAAAAAAGTAGCGAAGTTGCCGTTACAGTTACCGCAACAGAAGAGTAACTCGTTACAGTTACAGTTACTTTTAAATAGTAACGACGTTACTTTTCAGTTACTTTTCTATAACACAAAAAATAGGAAAACCTAGAAAACGCCCCTTACCAAGTTTTATTCCATAAAATTAAACAGTACGCTTTTTACTTCATATTGTAACTTAGCAAAGTTGCTTCTCGAAATTAGTGTTTGAAAATTTCCACGCCAGAGTAGTGTCGCAAATCAAAATACGAAACATGCGCAGTGTGGAGTACTGGCGCTAATCAAAATGCGAAACATGCGCAGTGCCCTCCGCGTGCATTTTTTTTTTCACAGTTGATTCACCCGATTAAAAATCGTTTTCACAGAATAAAGAAAAACCACAAAATAGATAGTGCTTCAAGACACTAAGATGTGTTCAGTCACGGAGTACAAGCGCGTGCGTAAAGATAACGAGATTTTTTTCGTGATATCTACACGTGGCTATATTCGGGTCGTGGCTCGTCAGAAAGGACGTATTCACAAGTTTGTGCAAGGCCATCTTGACACTCGAAATGACGGAATAGACGATTTGAAAAGTGCAAGTAAAATCTAAATTGGTACTCGATCAGTGATATATTATTCATAAAACACTGGAAAGTAACGACAAAAGTAACGTCGTTACTTTCATCGTTACCGTAGAAAAAAGTAATAGAACTACAGTTACAAGTTACATTTTAAAAAAGTAACTCGTTACAGTTACAAGTTACCAAAAAAGTAACGAAATTACAGTAACGCGTTACTAGTAACGCGTTACTACCCAAGACTGCCAAAATGCTCCACCAGCCAGGAG